TCTCGGCTATTCTTGGGTGTTAGTCTCCTGTTTTGTTACTTTATGTTCCCCAGATGAATGCAATCTTTCTATGTCTGTCCCTTTCATTCTGATTCATTTCGCTTAGCATGATACTTTCCATGTAGTACCACTTGTATATGAATTTCATGACTTCATCTTTTCTAACAGCTGCATAGTACCCCATTTTGTAGATCTACCAAAGTTTCTTTAACCAGTCATCTGTTCTCGGGCACTCAGGTGGTTTCCAGATTCTAGCTATTGTAAAGAGTGCTGCAATGAACAAACAAGTGCAGATGTCACTTCGACTATACATTTTTGCCTCTTTGGGCAATATTCCCAGGAGTGGTATTGCTGGGTCAAATGGGAGCTCAATTTCTAATTTTTTGAGGATCGTCCATACTGTTTTCCAAAAGAGCTGACCCAGTTGGCATTCCCACCAGCAGTGAAGGAGAGTCCCTTTCTCACCACATCCGCACCAGCACAAGTTGCGTTTGGTCTTTTGGATGTGGGCCAGTCTGTGAGGTGTGAGGTGGTATCTCATTGTGGTTTTGATCTTCATCTCCCTGATGATTAATGATGTAGAGCATTTTCACTTGTGCCTTTTAGCCATTCAGATTTCTTCTTTGAGAAAGTTTCTGTTCATTTCATTGCCCCATTTTTTGATGGGGTTGGTTGTTTTCTTCTTGTGGAGTTCAACCAGTACTTTGTATATCCTGGATATCAACCCCTTGTCAGATGTGTATTCGGCGAATATCTTTTCCCATTCTGTAGACTGTCTTTGTATTTTGGTCACTGTTTCTTTGGAGGTGCAGAAGCTTCTTAGTTTAAGACAGTCCCATTTGTCTATCTCTGTTTTCACTTGCTTGGCCAATGGCGTGACATCTTTGAAGATACCATTAGCTTCAACGTCATGGAGGGTTTTGCCAACTTTGTCTTCAATGTACCTTATGGATTCCGGTCTGATGTTGAGGTCTTTAATCCATTTTGATCTTACTTTTGTACTTGGTGTTAGGGACAGATCTGAGCCCACTTTTTTGCATGTAGCCGTCCTGTTTTGCCAGCACAATTTGTTAAAGAGCCTTTCCTTGCTCCACTTCACATTTCTTGAAATATTTTATCTCCAGAAAAAGTATTCAACTTCCAATAATGGTATGTGAGAGAACTACATCTATTGAAATATTCAGTTATGCTTCTATATTTATACTTTTATTACTATCTGTTTTGGGGAGGCTTTGACCCCTGTGCTCCAGGGACTATATGTGATTAAGCTCTGGTTGGCCAATGCAAGGTGAGCATCTTAACCACTGGACTACCTGGACCCCTCATGTATTATTTTTATGTACAACCTCCCTGGTCATTACTGAGAATGAACATCACTATCACTTATTTTTCTAAAGATATTTATTTTATGGCAGGGAGGTGGAAATCCTTCGTTCACTGTGTCATGAATGTTTTTCCCACATTGGAATTTATCTTTTAATTTTTTGGGGGGGGAGTCACACCCAGAGATTCTCAGGGATTACTCCTGGCTCTGCACTCAGCAATTACTCCTGCCGGTGCTTGGGGGGACCATGTGGGATGCCGGAGATAGAACGCAGGTCAGCTGTATGCAAGGCAAACGCCCTACCCGCTGTACTATCACTCCTATCTTTTAGTTTTCGTAGTATTTTATTGTATAGAAAGCTATTGAGGATAAAGGGAGGGAATTCTTTATATTCTTTAATAGTCTTTCTTGAAGTATTTCTTTCCGTGTGTGTGTGTGTGTGTGTGTGTGTGTTGGGGGATGGGTGGGTCATACCCAGTTGTGTGTACTCCTGTCTCTGTGCTCAAGAATCATTGCTGGTGGGGTTTGAAGGACTATATGGATTATTGAGGATTGAACCTGAGTCAGCTACGTGCAAGGCAAGAGTCCCACCTACTACTATTAACCTACCTATTATCTCTCCAGCTTCATGTAGTATTTTCTTTTAAGTGTTTTGTACACTTATCAATATATAAAAAAGATCGGCAGAAAATGGTCCCCCAAGTATGTCTGAGACTTAATTCCTGAATATACATGTTATCTTACAAGGGTAAGAAAAGATTAGAGATTAGAATCTTAACCTGGGCAGATTAAACTGGATGATCTGTAGAGCCTTTATACTTGATGCAGCAAAGAGACATTTGTATATGCTTTAAAAAGACACATGAAATGCTGGTGTTGAAGATGGAAAACTTTGCCTGTCCATAGGAGAAGCAAGCAACACTGTACTTGATCAAAAAAGAGCTTTTGTAACACAACTATCAGCTTCCACTCTATAATTATATTGTTATAACATAGCTATAATAATTGGATAGGGATGAGGTGTGCTGAGAAAAGCTCCAAGGGGAAGCACGGGTTGAGATTGGGATATGAAATTTCGTTAAAATGTTTATTCCACTCAGAGAGTAAAATGATTATAAACACTAGGGAACTTAACCACAAAATAGTACAGGGACGTCTGACAAATTCAGTATACTTTTATGATAAAAGATGTGACAGACTGGGAGAAAATATTTGCAACATATGCTAGAGTTAAAAAAGATTTTACCCACATTATGTCAATGTTTCCATAAATGGAAATGGTACAAAAATTAAAAAAAAAACAACAGAAGCAAATATTTGCAAATAATGAGCTTCTTCTACAGAATAACAATTGATCGACACATATGTGAAGATTGGTCGATTCTAAGTGTTACTAATTCTGCCATATAAAAATAATCCTTATTTTATGAGCAGCCTAGGTTGAAAGGAAGGGCAATTTGTACTCTGCTGAAGAGAAAATTCCTAGTGTCTTGATTTAGACAGAATGTAGGAGATAAAATGTGGATGCTGAAATCATTTTCTGAGAAATGTCATTCCTTGGAATCTGTGAAGAAGTGGGAGATAAAAAGTTAGTTAAATTGCTACTTTATGGCTCTTATCTGTAGATAAGGACAGAAAGAAGAGTTTAAATTTATCAAACTGTTAGAAGACAAGTTTAAGACCAGTAATGTTTCCCTTATATTTTCCCTTTTTTATAGTAAGGATCTATCTAACAAAATAGATATATAAGTGCTATATGTAAATGCATTTATACAAACACTGTTTATAAGCTACATGTAAAACTTATATTTTCATATTAGACTATTTCTGTTGAGATTAGAAACTATTCTTGTTTTGTGCTGATGAGTAAACTTTCCCTTGAATTCTGTTTTTCTTAGCATAATGGAATTAATTTTCTGAGAATATAGAAAGACTGATCAGTAGTATCTATATCTAGCTGAGATTTTAGGAACTATTTATTATGTATGTTTTCTACCAAATACCAGTGTTGCTATAACATAAAGTTCTGGAGGTTGTCTTTGTGATTTAACTGTTAAATACGAGGCTTAATTAATCTGTATTGCTGGAATTAGTCTTGTTTTCTTTGGTGTTCTTCGTGTCCTGTAGGTGGAGATATTCTGAGTGCCATTTACCTCAGGTCTGTATGTTGCATTCTGTTGTACTCTAAGAGAGTCTCCATCTATCTTGCTAATAAGACTTACTGATAGTGTCCTCTACTCATAACTGAGCCATTGTTCAAAAAGAGGGAAATGACTTAATTGTTCTGCAAAGAGACCAGTAATGAAGGATAACAATAAGGATTTCAGAGTATGTTTCCTATTAAAATATTGACACAGCTAGTGTTTTAGTTTGACAACACATTAGAGGAAAAGTAGAATCCTAAAGGCAATCTTGGTGCAAAATAATGACGATTTCTTTCCATATTTTATAATCAGGAAGACAAAGGCAATATGCCCACAGAAGCATCTGCTCTACTGAAGCAATAAAATTAGCTACAAGAGTCCACTGAAAACAACAAAGAAAAAATACATCACATTTTTTCATCGGTGTCACGACAGGTTGGCAGATACTAGAACGTATTATCAATGCCTTAAAGAAATGCAATTTAGGAAACTTATGCACTGTGGGAAGTTTACTGTAGCACTGCATGAAAATCCAGATTGTTGTGGTGCTTTTCAGTTTCTTCTCTAGGTATCATTTCCCACTGGTACATTAAGATGTGCTCTTGATGAGCTAGTTGAGGAGCTGCGCAAAGAAAAGTGAGCACCTTTTAAAGCAAATGATGCTTCTGAAATATTTTGGGAACAATTATGTTCTGGACTAAGGGTACAAAGATAATTCCACATACAAATTTTATCCTTTCAATTTTTTCAGAGAAAAGTTCCTATACCCAGGCAGAAACTCGACATGCAGGAAAATAGGGGCTTAAAATTCATGGTAAACCTTTAAAATGTTTTGTAATGGCATGAAAAATAGCTGCAAAATAGCTGTCTGTGAGTTATCATGAGATGAAGTGAATAAAACTGAAGTGCTGTCAAAATTTTAATTTTATCCTGGTCTTCCCAAGGTGTGCTTGGAGGACCGCTGTGAGGACTGAACTCAAGACTTCTGTATGCTCTCCACCACTTTGGGCTATGTCTCTCATCACATTATGCACTTTTTAAAACACAAATGAAAGTATTATAAATATTTTGATATGATGATAACAGTATATTACACTACTTCATATATTTTTTTAAAAAACAAAAAATAATTTTTTTAAAAGAAGTCACAGCTTTGAAATGGATTTTAGGGTTGGAGTAATAGTAAAGCAGGCATGGATTTGCCTTACACGGGGCCAGGCAAAATTTGATCCCTGGTACCACATGTGGGCCTCCGAGCCTGTCAGGAATTATTCCTGTGCACAAAGCCAGGAAGAAGCCCTGAGCATTATCCAATTTGCCCCCAAAACAAACAGATGGATTTGAATATTTCCAGTTATTTGATTATAGGAACTTTGTATAACCTCGTTAAATATATATTAGATGTTTTTCAAAATTAGCACTTTCGATATATAGTGAAGTTATTTGTTATTTATGTAAACAAATATTAGATTTTAATCTTAAGTTTAAATAAAAGGTTTTTATCATGCAGGCTAATAAGAAAATCCCACTTTCAGGGATAAGCACAAACTCAGATCCCACTATCAAAAATTCTGCAGTTGAGTTTTCCACATTTCGGAAAAATCACAGAAGTTAGCCATCTGGAGTGCAATGAATAAGCCCGACCTTGAGAAAACCATCTTTTTGCTTATCATGGTATCTAGCCTGGCAGGTAGGTATATAATTTTCTACTTAGTTATATTTGCTTTATGATATATTTTTTATTAAATTTAGTTTTAGGTGTTACAGTTAATATAACCATAAAACTAACCAAGCTTGATAAACGTTTAAATATCTTTTGAAATGCTAAGCCTGAATATCCAAAAGCAATAAAGAAAACAGGTAAAGGTAAATACATGATAACCTTTCAGTGTCTGTACTGCAAACCATAATGCTCAAAAAGATGAGAAAGAGAGACAAAGAGAGAGAGATTGAGTGAAAGAAGAGAAGTGCCTGACACAGAGGTGGGGAGGTGGAGGGAGGAACACTGGAATTGGTGGTGGAGAACGTGCATGGTGAAGGGATGGGTGTTGGAGCATTATATGACTGATATCTAATCATGAAAAACTTTGTAACTGTTTATCAAAAAATGGAAGAAAACACAATTTCATTGCTATGTAAAATTTTAAATTATCTATAATGTTGTAGTGAAGATGAAAGGGTTTTATAGTTATTGCATTATAATACTTATTATTTGGACTTACTTATGTATACCTAGGTTTTTGCTTTTGAGCATATAAAACATTGTCCTTTGTACATTTACCATCCAAGTTGATAAGTAAATAAGGTAAGAACATAAATTTTTCCTAGCTGACATAACTCTCGAAGATGTCCTTTCATACAGTCATAATGTGGATTTCCAGAACCATTTACTAATCTTAGGAGGGTTTTGAACATAAAGAGGGGAAGGATTATTTTTTAATTTTTTATTGAATCACTGTGAGATACACAGTTACAAAGTTATTCATGATAGGGTTTCAGTCCTACAATGTTCCAACACCATCCATTTACCAGTGTACAGTAAGTAGTCAAATATAAAATAAAATAAGTAATATGGCAGTAATCGTGTTACCAGGAGGAAAGAGAGAAGCTCTGATTTATAAAGTTTGTAGATTTCTTTAATGAAAATATTCCCACCAAGGCATATATCTGATGATAAAAGAACAGCATGTGGAGTCAGGAATTGATGTGTGTAATCAACTCATAGGAACTAGTATAAGCTGGTCTAGCCAGCCATTGGAGAGAGGCCAAGTCCTGTTGGCAGAAGATTATTCCATTCTCATTTGTCAAAAATTGTGTGAATCCCAGCAAAAATAGCTCCTGATTTGAATGTTCTTGTAATTTTACATTGTTCCTGCCAGTATTATATATGCGCTCTGTTCATGCTTGTTCTGTAAAAGTTCTAATTATTTTAATATTTTTAAATCAATCTCACCAAGGCATACATGTTCTACAAGTATGTCTTCTAGGAGGAGGTAGAGAAACAGGAAGAGCAAAATCATATTTCTGCAATAGATATTTTCATTTTTAGTCTATGTAAAAGTATTCCTCAATAAAATTAGTTGAAAGATTGAATAAGTGTCAATCAGAATGCCAAATCTGACATATATGAACAGTTCATGATTTTTCAAGATGTGCAAAAAACACAACCTCACTCCGTAAGAATTATCACTGTTATGAGTAAGTTTCTTCAGCACAAATCAAAAGGGAAATACTCTTATGTGGACTCATTTTTATTCTAGTGTTTTTCTAACTAAGCAAATTATGATTTTTCCCATTAAGATTAATTTAGGAAAAAAACACAGTGTTTGATTACCACTGGGTTTCTTTTCAATACACCACTCATATTTAAGAATCAATTAAACTTGGTTCATCCATTTCTTAAAAACGGTTTTAGATTGCTTTATATCTCCAAACTATTTGTCAAATTACTCTGCCATTATCTTTGTGTTCACTAAAGCAAGGGCAAAATTGTATTTAAACAACGGTTTACTTTAACATTCTAAAGTTAAAAAAGGATAATTGAACAAACACTATGCAAATATGCACTTGGAAATTAACATCCCCCCTAAATTCATAGTGGAATCTAATTCTACGGACGTAACGGAGTATGCTCTATGGATCATTCCCATTTTGTAAGTGGTATTCTTTTAACTTTCCTCAAATATTTTAAATGATAAGATGGAGAATATTCATCTTAGTAATTGAACACTTGTCAGCAAAGATAATTAAATCATCATGCAGCCAGCTTGGTTAGTTGGCCAGAGAAAGCACAATAATGGATTTGTGGATTCAAGCCATGGATCATTGTATAAAGCTCTTAAATTGGAGTGTTTGTCTCTGTGTCTCTCTTCCTCTAACTCTATTGTCTAGTTTGCTGTCAAGTAACTTTTCTTTGTAAGCAGTGAATTGGCTTCCATGGACAGTAGTTTGGTTTTCTTTTGGGGGACCACATATGGCTGTGCTCAGGGACTTATATACATATAATGCCAGGGATTGAACCAGGGTTGGCTATGTTACATAGTTATTTAAAAGTTTATTAAGCTTGCCTTACACCCTGGACAAAAGGTGCCTTACACCTTCTCCCATGGACAGAATTTCTAGGTATTAATTTACACAACTGGGCTGTTCACTTATTCGACCATAGCACTACAAGTGAATCATTCCTCTATTCACTCATTCTTTCAGAAGTACTATTTGAGCTTCATTTATTGAAGAATTCTCAAATTCATCTTTAGAGCAGCTGTAGGTTCACAATCTTCAACTCTGCTCCAACCTCCAATCCCACCAATTACACAGACTCTCCAGGATGTGTTCTCTACCAGAGTGCCCCATTCGTCACAAGTTCTTGAATAATTAATTTAGACAAACAGGCTGTTCAGTTATTCGACCATAGCACTACAAGTGAATCATTCCTTTAGCTATTCACTCATTCTTTTAGAAGTACTATTTGAGCTTCATTTATTAAACTGTCTGTCACTGTCCTCCCATTGTTCATCGATTTGCTTGAGTGGGCACAGTAACGTCTCCATTTTTTTGAGACTTGTTGTTACCGTGTTTGGGATATTGAATACATCACAGGTAGCTTGCCAGGCTTTGCCTTGCAGTCGAGATACTCTCGGTAGCTTGCCGGGCTCTCCGAGTGGGGCAGAGGAATCGAACCCAGCTTGGTCGGGCTGGCTACGTGCAAGGCAAACACCCTACCGCCATGCTATTGCTCCAGCCCCATTTATTAAAGAATTCTCAAATTCATCTTTAGAGCAGCTGTAGGTTCACAACCTTTAATTCTGCTCCAACCTCCAATACCACCAAGTACACAGACTCTCCAGGATGTATTCTCCACCAGAGTGCCCCATTCATCACAAGTTCTTGAATAAATATCTGATGACGTGGTGCCATCCTGGGAGCAGCAGACAGTGCATTTTTACTACCTTAAAAATTTTTCCATGCTCCCTCATTTTACCCACCTCCCACTGGCACACAGTGGCAACCACTGACTATGTAACTGTCCCACCCGGGCTATTTCTAGAGTGTGACAAAACTGGAGTTAAGTGTTGTGTAGCCTTTTCAAATTGATATCTTTTCCTTAGTGCATGTATTTATAATTCTTACATTTTTCTTTTCAGGGTTTGAGTTCATAGTTCTTAGCCCCAAACTGATTATATCGTCTGAATGGAATCATTGTGATAACTCAACATTTTATTTCCAGTAACAGGCATTTTTAGAGATTTAAGGGGAAACCTATGTCCTTCTGTCTGCACTCTTTGTCCTTATTGGCTGGGTACAAATGACACTTGTTAAATATTTTTGCCTGTATTCCAATTTTCATGCAAGGAATTGTGGTCAAACTCAGGTTCTCTGTAAAGTGTCTGTCTCTTCAGGTAGTTTTTGTTCTCCCTGGATAAGGGGGTAAGGTCAGATAGCAAAATGTTTTCATTTGCTTTCATGATGGTGTTCTAATTATTCAGATAATTTGGGAGTAATAGTTTCTTCTGTCACTCAGGTCTGTGAAGACTGGAAGTCACCTTGGGAACCTTCTTTCTTTTTCTATGGATCCTTCTGAATCGCAGACCTCCCCACCTGCCACCTTCTTTACCTGCCAGTTACCTTTAACATGAGGCTAGGGATTTAGAATTCTAAATTCTAAATCTAGTTTGAGATGATGATTCACTGACGTGTTTATTCTTGGATATAAGTAAAATAGATACATATTTATTATTTTCTTTCTAGTTTTACAGACTGAATAGGGAAAAGAGAGTATAGAATTATTATAACTCACTAAAAGATGGTTCATTCCTACCAATACTCTGAATGTTGCTAATGTCATGGCCTTACTACCATATACCCAAACAAAAAGATTCAAAACACAAAGGAAGAATGATTTGAACTATATAAATATTAATGTTTATCAAATGTATGTAGGCAGAGAAGATCAGGTGAATCCTTATTGTCATTCAAAGTATATGATTAAATTTTATGTTTGAATATCTGTTTTCTTATAATCTAATTTGGGGAATACATTTTATATTAATTATATGTGGCATTAAGCAAAGACATTTTCTCATTCTAGAGCAACCAACCTCAAACATAAGTAAATGAACTGAAAATGTGGCATAAATCACAGAATCATGGGAAAACTCAATAGCCCTGTCCTTAGAACTATAGGAACTAGGACTGTAGCAGGATAGTGTGTGTCATTCAAATAAAAAGCAACCCTAAGAGAAAGTAACATTTTCTGTTGCTTCAGGTGTTTCTAAATGGGAGAACTGAGAATCATGCTTTTTAAAAACAAAGTGCTGTTGGAAGCCTACTGCTCACCTAGCCAGCACATCAGTCCCTGTGTTCTCACTCTGAGAACTATTATCAAATTTACATTACTTATCTTCCCTGTCCCTGTCAGTTAATGTTATGTGCTAATCTCTGGAGAGTCTCAAAGTTCACACACACAGTGGTCAGTGAATGTTTTCTTGAAATAACACTTTCACCTTCTCATGTCTTCCATGTTACAATCCAATGCCTCAAAGCCCAAATTATCTTCTTTTTCTTTGGATGACAAACTGATTCTGTTCTTCAAAGGAGACTTAAAAGAAGAATATTATGATTTTTTATAAAAAAAACAAACTAAGTCAATATTGTGTCTCTCCCCTTTGCCCCATCAATATTACCATTTTTTTGCAACA